AGCCATGAGTCTGTTGTATATAGATTTTATTATATTGAGGTTTGTTCCTTCTATATCTTGTTTATTGAGGGTTTATACCATGAAGAGGTGTTAAATTTTATCAATTGCTTTTTTAGCATCAATTGAAATAATATGTCTTTGGTCCTTCATTCTGTTATATCACATTGATTGATTTGCATATGTTAAACCATCCTTGCATCCAAGGATAAATCTCAGTTGGTCATGATGAATGATCTTTTTAATGTGTTGTTGAATTTGGTTTGCTAATATTTGTTGATAATTTTTGCATCAATATTCATCAGTGATATTGGCCTGTAGTTTTCTTTTTTGGTGTGTCTTTTTCTGCTTTTGGTATCAGGGTAAATCTGGCCTCATAGAATGAGTTTGCAAGTACTCCCTCCTCCTATTTTTTTTTTGGTAATAGAGTAGGATTGGTATTAGTTCTTCTCTAAATGTTTGGTAGAATTCAGCAGTGAAGCCATTGGGTCCTGGGTTTTTCTTTGCTGGGAAAATTTTTATGTTTTTATTAATAGCTTCTATCTCGTAACTTGTTATTAGTCTGTTCAGGTTTTAGATTTCTTCCTGGTTCAATCTTGGTAGGTTGTACATATGTAGGAATTTATCCATTTCTTCTAGATTTTCCAATTTATTGGCATATAGTTGCTCATAATAGCCACTAATGATCTTTTGAATTTCTGTGGCATTGGTTCTAATGTCTCATTTTTCATATCTTATCTTACTTATTTGGCTCCTCTCTTTTTTTCTTAGTCTGTCTAAAGGTTTGTCAATTTGTTTATCTTTTCAAAGACCAACTTTTTTTTCATTGATCTTTTGTGCTGTTTTCTTTATTTCAAAATCTTTAATTCTGGTCTGATTTTTATTATTTCCTTTCTTCTACTAATTTTGGGTTTGGTTTGCTCTTGCTTTTCTAGTTCTTTAAGATGCATTGTTAGGTTATTTGAGGGTTTTTTTTTTCTTTTTTGATGTAGATGCTTATAGTTATAAACTTCCCTCTTAGTACTTCTTTTGTTATATCCCATAGGTTTTGGAATGTTGTGTTTCCATTATCATTTGTTTCAGAAAACTTTTCAATTCCCCCTTAACCTCTTTATTGACCCACTGGTCATTCAGGAGCATATTGTTTAATTTCCATGTATTTGTATAGTTTCTAAAATTTCTCCTTTTATTGATTTCTACTTTTATTTCATTGTAGTCAGAGAAGATGCTTGATATTATTTCAGTTTTTTGAATGTTTTCAGACTTGCTTTGTGACCTAACATATGATCTATCCTTGAGAATAATTCGTGTGCTGAGAAAAATAATGTGTATTCTGCAACTGTTGGATGAAATGCTCTGTAAATATTTATGAGGTCCATTTGGTCTATAGTGTAGATTAAGTGTGATATTTCTTTATTGATTCTCTGTCCGGAAGATCTCTCCAGTGCCAAAAGTGGGATGTTGGAGTCTCCAACTATTATTGGCATGTCTCTTTAGCTCTGGTAATATTTCCTTTATATATCTGGGTATTCCAGTGTTGGATGCATATACATTTGTAATTGTTATCCTCTTGCTGAGTTGATCCCCTTATTATATAATGACCTTTGTCTCTTCTTATAGTTTTTGTCTTGAAATCTATTTGATATAAGTGTAGCTACTTCTGCTCCTTTTTAGTTTCCATTGGTATGGAATATCTTTTTGCATCCTTTGATTTTTAGTCTGTGTGTGTCTTCATAAATGAAGTGTGTTTCTTCTAAGTGATAGATCACTGGATCTTGTTTTATGTCTTTTGATTGGAGAGTTTAGTACATTTACATCCAATGTTATTACTGATAAGTAATATTCCGGCCATTTTATTATTTCTGATTGTTTTGTGGTCTTCATTTTTTCTTCTTCCTTTTAGTAAAGGTGATTTTATCTGGTGGTATGATTTAATTTATTGCCTTTTACTTTTGTGTCTGTTTGTTGTATGTTTGTGATTTGGGGTACAATGAGATTTTCAAACACTATTTTATAAGCCATTATCTTAAGCTGATAACAACTTAACAGTGCTTGCATAAACTAACAAGCAAAAAGAAAACTAATAATAACTCTATGACTTAACTTCGTCCCCCACATTTTAACTTTTTGTTGGTTCTATTTATATCTTAATGTACTGTGTATGCCTTGAAAATTTGTTTTAGTTATTATTTTCAATTGGTTCATCTTTTGGTCTATTTAGTATAAGAGTAGTTTACAAGGCTGGGCATGGTGGCTCACGCCTGTAATCCCAGCACTTTGGGAAGCCGAGGTGGGTGGATGATGAGGTCAAGAGATTGAGACTATCCTGGCCAACATGGTGAAACCTCGTCTCTACTAAAAATACAAAAATTAGCTGGGCGTGGTGGCGCACACCTGTAGTCCCAACTACTCAGGAGGCTGAGGCAAGAGAATCGCTTGAACCCAGGGGAAAAAAAAAAAGAAAGAATAGTAGTTTACAAATCACGGTTACAGTGTTTTAATATTCTGTGTTTGTCTGTGTGCTTACTATTACCAATGAGTTTTGGACCTTCAGATGATTTCTTATTGCTCATTAATGTCCTTTTATTTCAAATTGAAGAACTAGATCTTGTTAGCATTTCTTGTAGAACAGGTCTTGTGTTGATGAAATCATTCAGCTTTTGTCTGTCTGGGGAAGTCTTTATTTCTTCTTCACATTTGAAGGGTACTTTCACGTTATCTATTATTCTAGAGTAAATGTTTTCTTTTCCTTCAGCACTTTAAATATGTCATGCCACTCTCTCCTGGCCTGTAAGGTTTCCATTGAAAAGTCTGCTGTGAGACCTATTGGGGCTCCATTTTATGTTGTTTGTTTCTTTTCTCTTGCTGTTAGAATCCTTTCTTTATGCTTGACCATTGGTAGTTTGATTATTAAAAGCCTTGAGGCAGTTTTCTTTGGGTTAAATCTGCTTAGTGTTGTATAACCTTCTTGTATTAGGATTTTGATATCTTTCTCTAGGTTTGGGAAGTTTACTGTTATTATCCCTTTAAACTTTTTATTCCTATCTCTTTCTCTACCTCCTCTTTAAGGCCAAAAACTCAGATTTGCCCCTTTGGGGCTATTTTCTAGATCTCATAGATGTGCTTCATTCTTTTTATTATTTTTTCTTTTGTCTCTTCTGATTGTGTATTTTCATTTTTTATTTTATTTTTTATTCGACTATTTTCAAAGTCTATCTTCAAGCTAATTCTTTCTTCTGCTTAGTCTATTCTTCTGTTAAGAGACTCTGATGCATTCTTCAGTATATGTTACATTTTTCACCTTCAGAATTTCTGCTTGATTCTTTTGAATTATTTCAATCTCTTAAATGTATGATAGGATTCTGAATTCCTTCTCTGTGTTATCTTGAATTTGAGTTTCTTCAACATAGCTACTTTGTCTCTTTAAATCTATTTTCTATCTTTATGCACTCTTCTTTCTTCCCTGGAAGGATAATATTATGGGCTTTCATACCCTCCGGCTCATTACCTCTCTCTGTCCTCTTTCCTTTGGGCCCAGGGATGGCGCCAACTACACTGCTGCCAGCCTCAGGCTCCTGCACTATCTATCCCTTTTTGGTTCTGTCACACTCTATCCACCATAAGTTGTTCCTTTGTAAATAAACCCTCCTCTAATTCTAATTTAATTGTGCCAACTGTTTTATATTGAGTCCTTGACTGATACAGGAAAACTGGTAGAATATGAATCTCCTAGTCCATCACTGAAGTGTAGAATACTGAAATAAAGTTATTATGGAAGAGTTCTGAGATCTTAGCAGTATACAGCATTGCACTTCCAGTCTTCGTCTTCCGTTATGGAGAAGAGGGGGCTGTTTGGCATATATTTTCTGAATTTGGGAGCATATTTTAATATAGCAACTCATGTCTGCTACTGTTTGAATGAAGAAATTTCACTGAGCATTTTTTAATGAGACACTGGTCAAGAGTGCCAAGCCTGAAATAATCATAATGTATTGTGCCTTAGAAGAAGATAGAGGCCATTTTCAACTCATTTTACTTCTCTGCAGCCCTTAAAGGGTAAACAAGAGGGTGTCAGGGATTCCTGTGGCCCCACATGCAGGGTCGTGGAGACTAGCAGAAGGGCAGAAACCATCAGACTGCAGTTGTTCGAGGCTAAACAAGGGAACATCCAACCTGAAAAATGACGTTGGGATAGTGTCCTGATGAAACACGGATTCCATTCTAGAAGGAGTTCTTTTGGTAGCAAAGATAGGCATGAAGCTGAACATTGCTCCAAGAAAACCAAACATTGCTTATAAGAACCATCATGTTCACCCAGGTAGCCAGTAGCAGATGGCAGAGATACCTTTGACCACTTACTTAAGTGGTTTCTTCATTCTCTTTGCTTCCTTCATAGGGGATGTATGAGAATACGAAACTCAGAAAAAAAGGGAAAGTCCATTAAAGAAAGATAATCCCATTCCTTTACTGTAAGCCTCTAGGTTCAAAAACAGGGTTAGCTTGAGTTAGGACAGGTGGAGAGGAACACAGTTTAGGAAAGGAGGCTGGAGGCAAGGAGATAAGCCTAGAATGGACTAGATGGAAGTTATAAAATAAGCAATCTTGAATATTGAAACAAGATTATACTATTAAACAAGAATGATTGGAAAAATGTGGACTCGGCCAAGAAACTGTTAGCAAACCACTAAGGAGAAAGGAAGAGTTACTAGAAAAGGAACACAGGTACATGTTTATATTTCAACTCTTGAGACTCATTGCTACTTGGTTTCATAATTTCTTTCTAGGCATCTGTAACTTGAATTCACTTCTGACAGGATATTTTTGTCTTATATATGGTAGTTAATTGTTCTAGAAACCTACTTCAAGCTAACTTGAGCAACAAAGGGGGATTTATTGGAAAGCCGCTTGGGTATCTCACAGAACCCAAGGAAGATAATTGAACTGGATTTCCACAGGACCTGGAAAATCCTCAGAAACTCAAGTGCTCTTTCTTCTCTTTCCAGTCATGACCTTCAGGAAGGGGAGAGCGGCTCATGGGCTAAGTGGATAAACCACAAAATGGGTAATATACTGTCGGTGAGTTTTCAGTGACAAATGAAGTCTAAGCTGTGATTGCACTGGTTGGTGACTGAAACTTAAAATGGGACTTAGAGGTTAAGTGGAGGGAATATGTTGCCAAAATGTTAGAAGGATCTTCTTCAAAGAGAAGTTGAGGCTCTAGAGGATAATGGTAGGGCACAGAGTGGAGGTGAAGCTTGTCAGGGGTGGGGGTCAGTGGGGAGGATAGGAGAGTTCCTAATTTTGAGGAGGAAGGATAGAGGGTTTTATTGGTGAATGACGTAAGTGTCATGACCAGTCGCGTTCTCAGGATTCTTGAGTATTGGGAGATGTGGCTGCAGTGGACAGGGCAGTGTCAGACACACTAGATTTTATGATCGAAGCTTTTAAATTACCTACCCATAACCAACTTATCAGGAGACTGACACTGTCCATCTCCTCCAAAAAATAAAACTGACATGTCTACAGCATGCCAAATTCATACAGCCAGTAGGCTAATTTCTGACATGCCTGGTACTTTGATATCCACCAGTTGAGCTGTTTATCAAGAATAGTTGTATAAACTTCCAAAACTGTTTATGGATGGGCACGGTGGCTCACGCCTATAATCCCAGCACTTTGGGAGGCCAATGTGGGCGGATCGTTTGAGGGCAGGAGTTTGAGACCAGCCTGGCCAACATGGTGAAACATGTCTCTACTAAAAATACAAAAAAAAAACAAAAAAAAATTAGCCAGGCATGATGGCAGGCACCTGTCATCCCAGCTACTGGGGAGGCTGAGGCAGGAGAATTACTTGAACCCGGGAGGTGGAGGTTGCAGTGAGCCGAGATCATGCCACTGCCCTCCAGCCTGGAAGACAATAAAGGGCCAACGTGTTTTGGTTATTTTATGACTACATAATCTTTTAAAAAAACGTTTTGCGAAAACTGTAAAGATCTAAATAGAGTCTGCATTTAGTATTTTTCCCCACAAGAACCTTTAGGTTCTAGCTGCTTTAAATGTCAACTCATCTGGATGTGGCTTATGCTAGAAAGACCTAGAAGAGCTCTTATTCTGGATCCCCATTCAATGAAGACACGTTGGCCCTTTATTAAAAATTCATGAATGGCTCGACATTTATGATTTCAGTTTAAAACAAAATGTTAAGGTACATATCTGTATACTTTTTCACTTTAGCCAACTATTTTCAGTCTTTCAACATGAGGAGATGGAAGGGCTGTTCAAGCCCTTTTTTTTTTTTTTAGGCAATAGCACAGGAGGTCCAGGAGAGAGGCGAGCCGTGGGTGAGCAGGAGTGTCAACTTTCCACTGAAAAATACCCCTGCACTTCAGGCCATTCCACTTCTGTTATCTCCAAAGCTGTGGCAATCGTATTTATATATTCACCAAAACTGGGTGGGCCCTAGTGTTTTGCTGTCATCCTCTGTAGGCTGGTGTGTTCGGCTCATGGCAGAGTGTGAACCTGGCATCGGGGAGTGTTTGTCGAGTGAATAAGGGTGGGGCTGTACTTTCCAGAGCCGCCGGGAGAAACTGGATAAAGAGACCCTAGCCTGGCGGCCAGTCTCAACGTTCCTCCCAGTGGGGGAGGAATCTGTGGGTGGGAGGTGGGGAGCCTGAAACCCAAATATAACAGGCAGTCTGGACTGGGCGTGGTTCCCTGGGAGCTGGGTCTCAGATCCTCGTAGAGCTGACTTCTCCCCGGATCCCCGGGCAAGATGGGCAAGTACACGGTCCGTGTAGCCACTGGGAATTTGTTCCTGGCAGGCTCTCCCCACCTGGTGCAGCTGTGGCTGGTGGGTGAGCACGGGGAGGCAGACCTAGGGAAGCACCTGCGACCGGTGTGGGGAAAGGTGAGAGCTGGGGCCCCGGGACTCTGAGGTGTCACTGGGGGCTGGGGCCGGTCGGAGGGTGCTGGAGAAACCCCGGAAGCCAGGTAGAGGCTGAGGTCGGGTGCACTTGGTGTGCCTGATAGGAAAAGCAAGAGGAACAGGAGAAATGAGACGCAATTTCCTGCTTGAGCGGAGACCACGAGATGCCCGCTGGGGTGTGCATGGCAGGTCGTGGGGGAAGCTGGCGCCCCACAGTACCAGCTGCTCCTCACCTCCACCTCTCCCCGGGTATGCTCCAGTGGGGAAACAGAGCCAGGATTCTCTGAAGGTTCACCGACCCCGCCACCCTCCCTGAAGACCCCAACCCTGCCACTGAGCTGTGTCCTGTTGCACAGGTGGAGGAGTTTGAGATCGACGTCCCCCTGCACCTGGGGCGCCTCCTGATGGTGAAGCTGCGCAAGCACAACCGGCTGTTGAGTGTCGACTGGTTCTGCAAGTGGATCTCAGTGCAGGGCCCGGGAACACAAGGCGAGGTTTTTTTCCCCTGCTACCGCTGGGTGCAGGGCCACAGGATTATCTGCCTGCCCGAGGGCACTGGTGAGCTCGGTGGAGAAGGGGCACAGCCCCTGGCAGGCTGGAGGAAGAAGCGGGTTGGGGGAGGCTACTGTAAAAGAGGGAAAGATGAGGGAGACGGGGAGAAGTGAAGGAGGATGGAGCAGAGGAGGGTGGCTGATGGAGAGACACAAGCGAGCGCAGGGGGGTGACCAGGGAGGCTGTGTGCTCTTGTCCCCCTCCCCCAGCCCGGACCCTGAGTGATGACCCCCAGAACCTGTTTAAGAAGTACCGGGAACAGGAGCTCGAAGAAAGAAGGAAGGTGTACCGGTGAGCCCCAGAAAGTCTTTGATCCCCGTAGCAGATCCCAAGAAACCCGCTGCCCACCCCCTTACGCCTACCTCCGTGTTCTTCCTTCAGGTGGGGCTCCTGGAAAGATGGGTTAATCCTGCCTATAGCAGGGAATAGACAACCAGACCTTCCCAGGGACGAGCGATTCCTCGAGGATAAGGATTTAGACTTTAGTGTCTCCCTAGCAAAAGCGTGAGTGACAGCTAGAGGCTGGGGACTTGCTTCCCAGGGCGCAAGGTGGGATCCTTCGTTGATCATCTTGTACTCCATTCTTTCCACAGGTTGAAGGACATGGCCATTAAGGGGACACTGGATTTCATAAATTGTGTGAAAAGGCTGGAAGATTTCAAAAAAATATTCCCACGTGGAAAGACTGCCCTGGCTGGTCAGTTTCCACAACCTCCCAAAACCAATCTACAGATTTCCAGCCCAGGGAATTTGAAAAAGGAGGGGGATAGAGGATGGAAGAGTAATAGGTCAGCGGGATTAGGAGCTCACAGGCTGCTCCCCAATTGATGTTCCTAGAGCGGGTTCATGATTCTTGGAAGAATGATGCCCTCTTTGGGTACCAGTTTCTCAATGGTGCAAACCCCATGCTCCTGAGGCGTTCTTCAAGGCTCCCCGCCCGCCTGGTGCTGCCTCCAGGGATGGAAGACTTGAAGACCCAGCTGGAGAAAGAACTCCAGGTGCTGCCATTATCCCCACCTCCCTTCTCTTTGCCTCCTTCTCCTCCTTCATCTGCACTTAAGGCTTCTCAGCTTTGGCACTAACATTCTGCGCCACATAATTCTCTGTTGGGGGGGGCTTTCCTGTGGATCGTAGTGTATTTAGTAGCATCCTTGGCCTCATCCCCCCGGTTGTGACAACCACAAATGTCTCTAGATATTGCTGAATGTCCTGGGGTTGGGGAGTGGGGAGAGGAGGAATCGCCCCTGATTGAGAACGTTGATCTACAACATCTCCTCCTGTATCTTCTTTTCTTTCTCTTCCATCTCTACTTTCCTCTCTTCCTTCTTCACTGAACATATATCAGCCTTAGGGAAGAGCTCAAGCTCCTGGAAAGAAATAGCAAGAAAAACTAAACAAAGCCTTGGAGAGCTAAAAGCTGAATTTATTTTGAGGGGAGGTGGGTAGATAAAGGAAATATTTTTGCTACCTTGGCTAAAGCTGGCAGAAGAAGGGTTATGTGAAGAGTGCAATGGCCTTATGTGGTGGAAAACCAGAAACTTCACTGCAGGGAGCTCCAAGTCTGAAGGAAGACATCAGTCATGAAAACTTTTGTGTTCAGGTTTTTGGTTCTAGGGAAAGTGATTGGTGTTTAAAGTAAAATAGACTTGGATGGGTAGAGGAAGGATCCACCCTGGAAAATGAGAGAAGGGCTCCAGAAAACGACTCCAACCCTATTTTCTATTCCTGCCTCTGGCCCTGCAGGCTCGATCTCTGTTTGAAGTGGATTTCTCCTTGCTGGATGGAGTCAAGCCTAATGTCATCATTTTTAAGCCGCAATATGTGGCCGCCCCTTTGGTCATGCTGAAGCTTCAGCCTGATGGAAGACTCTTGCCCATGGTCATCCAGGTAAGAGGGCCCAGGTGTTTTTCTACCAGACACTGATCTCCTTTAGGGACTTAGATACACAAGTCCTCAGCTCCCATTCTCTCTCCTGCTCTAGCTCCAGCCACCTCGATACGGATGTCCCCCACCTCTGCTCTTTCTGCCCTCGGATCCCCCCATGGCCTGGCTCCTGGCCAAGACCTGGGTCCGGAGCTCTGATTTCCAGCTGCACCAGTTACAGTCACATCTGCTGAGGGGACACTTGATTGCTGAGGTTATCGCTGTGGCTACAATGAGAAGCTTGCCTAGCCTCCATCCTATTTACAAGGTACTTCAGCATCTCTGTCATTCTGTATTTGACTGTCCTTCATATTTCAGACTCCTACACGGAGTCTCACCTTGTACATTTCAGTCTAGCAGCAATCAATTTATATGTGGAGACACATACACACACATAAACACACATACGCAGTACTATGGAAACACCCAGGCACACACTTACTATGACGTGGGGGGAAAAGTATGAATAGGTTTTGCAAAGGAGTTGAAATTTGGGCTGAGGAGGTTTTCCAGGTGGGCAAGTGAGGGATGGAACATTATAGCCAGAAAGATCAATAGAGGCACGGAAAGAAAGGAACATGGATAATGGGTGAGATTAAAGTGTAGGGCATGAGTTGGGGTGAAAAGAAGAGGTGGGAGGAGATGAGTAGAAGCCATGTTACTTAGTGGGGAGAAGAATCAAGTTATTTTCTGACTATGTGAGGCTTCCAATGCCTATAAAGACCCATTTGCACATGTCAGGAGGGCAACTGGATATGTGAGTCTGGAGTTCCTAGAAGAGGTGTAGGTTGCAGGTACAGATTTTAGAGTCATTAGAAAACGAAAGTATTTAAAGTCATTGTACTGGATCAAGTTCTCTAGGGTTTGTAGAGACACTAGAGAATTTGATCCAGATCTAACTCTAGGGTGATCCAACATTTACAAATTGAGAGGAGGGAGCAGAGTGAGAAAAGAAAACGAGAGAAGGAACCTCATTGAGGTAGGAAGAAAACCAAAAAGTGCAATGCATGGCATCCAGGAGAAGAAAGTGTTTCAAGAGGGACGCGTGATTATCTGTCTCAAATGCTGCTGAGAGATCAAGAAAGTCACAGAGAAGTGACATTTGGGTTTCTCAATATGGAAGTCGTTGGTTAATAAATGGACATGCGCTATCTCAGGAAAGTGGAAGAAGCCTGATTCATGGGGGGAGAGCAGCAAATGTGAGGTGAGTAAGCAAAGACAACACTGGGTGAAGATTTGCTGTGAAAGGGAAAGCAAGAAACAAGGTGATGGCAAGACAAGGATGTGGGGGTCAAGCACAGGTTTTCTTTAGGGTATCCAATATTGCACATGTTTGTATGACAGAGAGAAGGAATATCATTATAGGAGGGTGAAGGTCTGGGTGAAGGCAAAAAGGGATGGGCTTATCTGTGGGTACCTGCCAGGATATGAGACTGTGGAAATAAGTAAGCTAAAACTTTCACCATGGGAAGCTCTGAGAAGACACTTTCCCATCTCTATATTCCCAAATGTTACCCTGACCCCATCCAATTTAATGAGAAGGCTGTTTCATAAAGACCCATCCTCTCCCTTCTTTTCTGTCACTTCAACATCCTCTTCCCTCATGGATGCTGGGACCTCTCCTATTTGACCGTGTCCCATTTCTTTCTTCCATAATCAGCTCCTGATCCCCCACTTCCGCTACACCATGGCGATCAACACCCTGGCCCGTAGTCGTCTTGTCTCTGAAGGGGGAATTTTTGACCTGGTACGGAAATGGATGAGTGAAGGGGAGGTGGGTTCAATATTGGAAGAATCCTAGGGGTTGTTTCCCTTTCCCACTCCTCCCCCAAGCTCTCCTTCCTCCATGGAAGGCCTCTCCCAAACCTGCCTCATGCCTGAATAGCTTCCTGCTTAAAAGGGCTAGAGTAGGACCACAGGCCTAGAGTCTCCTGATGCTCGTCTTCCTCCCTCCGCAACTTGGCATGGCTATGGGTTATCCTCAGGTGGTGAGCACTGGTAGTGGGGGCCACGTGGACATTCTTCAGAGAGCCACAGCTTGTTTGACCTATCGTTCCCTCTGTCCTCCTGATGACCTGGCTGACCGTGGACTCCTGGGTGTGAAATCTTCTCTTTATGGCCAAGATGCCATCAGGCTGTGGGGAATCATCAGCCGGTAGGTGAAGGTGGCAGAGAGAGGCAGTGAATGGAGGGGCGGGGGACTGTAGGTCCAGAAGGTCCTGCATCGGCCCCTGAGACTGAGTATCTTCTTCCCTGGGGAGCAGGTACGTGGAGGGGATGGTTGGGCTTTTCTACAAGAGCGACCAAGCCGTGAAGGATGATCTAGAGCTGCAGGCCTGGTGCAGAGAGATGACTGAGACTGGACTGCAGATGGCCCAAGACCGGGGGTGAGACAGGGATCCCTCCCTACTGACCCCTGTCAACACCCACTCCTCTGCAAACAATCTGCTTCTTCTCACATCATGAGACACCCCGCCTGCCCGAGGAACCTGAGAATTCTCCAGGGTGTGTCCAGAAATGCTAACGAGCACTCCTGATCTCCCCAGCCCTCTTCCCACACAGTGTTCTCTCTCCTCATGCACTGAGAGCTTCCTTTGGAACCAGTTACAAATCTTCTCTTAGGCATTTTCCCTCACTCTTCCCTCCCCTCTCGCCATAGCGCATTAACCTTGGAGCACACACAAGGGTGGGAGTCCTAGGGTGTGCAGGCCAGGACCACAGAAAAATAACTTTTCTGTATCTCCACATAGCTCTCCCTGCCTGAGATCTGTTTCGTGTTCTGGTTTCAAGGTCTCCGATTCTCCTCATTTCACCAGGTTCCCCATCTCCTTAGAGTCCCGGGCTCAGCTCTGCCACTTTGTCACCATGTGCATCTTCACATGCACGGGTCAGCATGCTTCTAACCACCTGGGTCAGGTAACCTATGTGATCATCCCCCAAGGGCTCCTGGGATGGAGAAGTGGGGGATCAAATGCCCAAGTCATCAGCCTAGGTTTCTGTGGGCTCCCCTCCCTGCAGCTGGACTGGTACTCCTGGATCCCTAATGGCCCATGCACCATGCGGAAGCCCCCACCCATCTCCAAGGATGTGACAGAGAAGGACATAGTGGACTCACTGCCCAATCTCCACCAGGCACATATGCAAAAGACCGTCACAGACTTTCTTGGCAGACGTCAGCCTGTCATGGTGAGAAGCAAATGCCCGGGTCCTGGGAAGGAGGTAGCTCAAAGGAGGGGAAGTATTCTGGGTTGAGAGCCCCAAGGGGCTGAGCCACCTTGTTTTCCACCTCTCAGGTGGCCCTGGGGCAGCATGAGGAGAAATATTTCTCTGGCCCTGAGCCCCAAGCTGTGCTGAGACAATTCCGGGAGGAGCTGGCTGCCATGGACAAGGAGATTGAGGTCCGGAATGCAGTCCTGGACCTGCCCTATGAATACCTTCGACCCAGCATGGTAGAGAACAGCGTGACCATCTGAGAGGGCTTGCCCGCCTCCGCTCCAAAGCTCCACCATCCCTGAGTGCCTTTTAGTATTCCGTCCTCTTCACATCCTCTGGTGAACAAATTGTCCCCAAAGCTTTGTGGTCAGGGTACCCAGAGCTGCCCACCACACAACTATGGGGAATACACGGTGATGGTCCCCACTGCATTTGGAAGTGGCATCCCCCAAAGCTGCCCTACCTTAAATGTCCATCCAGTCCTGTACTTCCTCACCCCGATCCCTGGCACACCTCCTCATTGCCAAAGGATCTGGCTTAGATACAAGTAAAAATATACGATTAAATAACAAAACTGATTATGGTGGTGGAAGGTGGGAGGGGAGACCTTGCTCTGTTTCCTGCCCCTTTACTCAGATTCCAAAGGAAGAAAGAAAATTTTTCCAGCAATCTGCTTTTTTCCAAGGGTATGTTGGAACCTCTCTGTCAGGCCTCTGAGCCCAAGCCAAGCCATCGCATCCCCTGTGACTTGCACATATATATTTGCCCAGATGGCCTGAAGTAACTAAAGAATCACAAAAGAAATGAAAATGCCCTGCCTTAACTGATGACTTTACCTTGTGAAATTCCTTTTTCTGGCTCATCCTGGCTCAAAAAGCTCCCCCACTGAGCACCGTGTGACCCCCACTCCTGCCCACCAGAGAACAACCCCCCCACCTTTGACTATAATTTTCCTTTACCTACCCAAATCCTATAAAACGGCCCCACCCTTATCTCCCTTTACTCTCTTTTTGGACTCAGCCCGCCTGCACCCAGGTGATTAAAAAGCTTTATTGCTCACACAAAGCCTGTTTGGTGGTCTCTTCACACGGACACGCATGACACTCTCTAAGTTAAATGACAAATGTTCTGGATGACCGAGCCCACTGGGGCTCAGAAACCTGGCTCTTGACAAGGGTTTTTGGCTTGAGGCCTCTGCGAATCCCCAACAAGCCGTCCCTTAGGCTACCTGCAGCAACGCCTCCGGTGCGACTCCCGGCACAGCCCTCCTGGCACGGTCCCTCCCCGCTGCATCCCAGTCTTCCTCTCAGTCCTGCCCCAGGACTCTTGATAAACCCTCTTCTCATCAAGCTCTATCCTTCCATCCTTAAAACATACCATGGATCCCAGAGTCCTAGATATTGGAGATAAACGGATCAAGAAGGAACTAGTAGGCCAGGCTCTATGTTAGAAATTTTAAATATATCATATCAATTTATCGCACCAGGCGCAGTGGCTCATGCCTGTAATCCCAGCACTTTGGGAGACCCAGGCAGGTAGATCATCTGAGGTCGGGAGTTCGAGACCAGCCTGACCGACATGGCGAAACCCCTTCTCTACTAAAAATACAAAATTAGCCGGGCATGGTGGCGGGTGCCTGTAATCCCAAATCCCAGTTACTTGGGAGGCTGAGGCAGGAGAATCACTTGAACCCGGGAGGCGGAGGTTACAGTGAGCCGAGATCGCGCCACTGCACTCCAGCCTAGACAATAAAGAGTGAAACTTGGTCTCAAAAAAAAAAAAAAAATTTATCCTCACAACTTCTCTGTGAGCTTGGTATCACTATCACCATCTTATAACAGGAAAATGAAGGTTGGCAAGGTAAGGGCAGAAGTGACCTGGCACCAAAATGCAGCAGAATCAGATTCCATTCGCTAGAAGGAAGCAAAGTCCAGGATTGTGGTCATAGCAATAACAGTTAAAAGACTGATTATAAAATCTAGAGGCCAATGAAAGCTTTGGATGGATCTGATGTAATGGGGGGGAAAAAAGGAGAAAGATTGAGTCTTTTAAAGAATCTTACACATTCAAATTACTTATATGCCATATGTTTTAAAAAGGAACATAGACAATACGGTTAATATGGTAGAAATAGACATGTGTGAGCCATCCAAATTCACCTACTGATGCCCTCAACCTTCTAATGTCCCGTCCTGTTCTATGTATTGCTTCCATCCATCATATGGCTCTTTTCAGTAGATGACAAAAGAATTTTAAGATAGCCACAGACCATAGACTCACAGAATCTTTGACTTGGTTGCTAGAAGTTTTTGTGGTTGCATGGAATGGTAGCAAGGAGACTCAGAAGAGAGGGAGGGGATGAGGAAGAGGCAGAGGTCACGCTGAGATTTTCAGTTTCGGCATGATTGGCGAGAAATACAAAGATTCAGAAGGAAGGTTGTTTTAAGTTTGATGTAATAGCGGGGTCCTTCTGGGAAGAAATTAAACAGGTAATTGGAGAGGCTGAACTGAAAAAAGAAAGGAGGTGAGTTCTACAGTTTGGATGATATTATGAACAAGGGAAAAAGAAGAGTCAGGGGCCAAGGACACCTTGAGATATACTCAAGAGTTAGGGATATAAAAGAGAACATGAGGCCAGGCACAGTGGCTCATGCCTGTAATCCCGGCACTTTGGGAAGCCAAGGTAGGTGGATCACCTGAGGTCAGGAGTTCAAGACCAGCCTGACCAACAAGGTGAAACCCATCTCTACCAAAAATTAGCTGGGCAGGGTGGCATGAGCCTCTAGTCCCAGCTACTCAGGAGGCTGAGAGGAGAATTGCTTGAACCTAGGAGTCAGAGGTTGCAGTGAGCTGAGATCGCACCAACTGCACTCCAGCCTGGGTGATGGAGCGAAACTTGTCTCAAAAAAAAAAAAAAAAAAAACATGAAGCCAGGAAGTGAGAATGATCATAGTTTGAAAAGTAAGAGGAGGAGCTGGATGACGCAGGTCACAGAAGCCAAGAAAAAAGAGAAGTTCAAGGCTAGAGGGGACAGGAAATTAGGTCTTCCCACACCCCCTGTCATCACTCCCTATGACTGAGTTTTTTTTTTTTTTTTTTTTTTTTTTTTTTTGAGATGGAGTTTCACTCCTGTTGTCCAGGCTGGAGTGCAGTGGCGTGATCTCAGCTTACCGCAACCTCTGCCTCCCAGATTCAAGCGATTCTCCTGCCTTAGCCTCCCGAGTAGCCAGGATTACAGACATATGCCACCACCCACAGCTAATTTTTGTGTTTTTAGTAGGGATGAGGTTTCATCATATTGGTCAGGCTGTTCTCAAACTCCTGACCTCAGGCGATCCACCTGTCTCAAAGCCTCCCACAGTGCTGGGATTACGAGTGTGAGCCACCACGCCCAGCAGCTCTCCCATTTTCTAGGTGTGTCACCTCCCATTTTCCTCCCCAGTCTGCTCCCCATCCTCCCATGTTTCCTCAGCAAGTGTCCTCATGTCTTCTGCACAGCACAGTCATATCCTCAGTCCAGCTTTCAGATTCTCCCACCTCATCTCTCAAGAGTGTCTGATATAACGACTCTTTTACTGAGGTCATCTGTTCAGGCACCTGTGCCTATGAGAGGCTTACTGTGATCTCTGAATCTTTGTTTGTGGTAATCCTACCTGGACTGCTCACCTCTAGATTTCTTATGAAATCACCTCTCATTTCTACAACAGGCGCAAATTGCCTTAAAGCTCAGTGTCCTGGCTTTGATCGATCCTTCGCTCCCTAGTCTGCCTGCACTCATGAAGGGTCACGCTATTAAAAAACTCCACGTGGTGCCATGTATGTTGTATTCCATGTGGAAGGTGCCCTCTGGAGTCTGCCAGAGACAATGAATAAACATTAGCTGTCAGAGACAATGAATAAACATTAGCTGTCAGAGACAATGAATAAACATTAGCTGTCAGAGACAATGAATAATGTTGGAAGTGTTGAAAGAAAATACCGGCCAGACTAAAGACTTTCTACAAATCAGTGAGAAGAAATAGGCAGCTCAATTAAAAAATGGACAAAAGGCCGGGCACGGTGGCTCACGCCTATAATCCCAGCACTTTGGGAGGCCGAGGCAGGCAGATCATGAGGTCAGGAGATCAATATAGCAGCTGTATGTAAAAAATGATATTGAAAGTATCCTGAGTTCTGGAGTTGCACCGATTCTATTAGGCTGAGAACCCCAGTTTCAAGTTCATCTCTTCATTTTTCTCTCATCCCATTTCACAGCAGCTTAACAGCAGGTCCTTTGTGTTCGTTTCTGGCCCATAGAGGGATCTTTATTCAAAATCATGGGGTTGTCTCTAAATTTCTGCTAAGCTAATGAATGGTGTTAGTATGTTCTCTTCTCTCCAGGGCAGAGGCAGAGATTATTATTATTTTTTTTTTTTGATTAGCCAAAAGCAACATTACACAATAAATCACGTATCATTTTAAAAGAAGAGTTAACTATTATAACGAAAAGATAAAATGCCATGGCGTTCAGGCAATGGTGGATTAAAAGTGCTTCGCACCTATCAGTTCTGTAAAACCTAGCTTAAGTCTGTTGGTCTAACTTTTTAACTAGACTTACCTTCCTTTAGAAAATATTTGATGTGCAGAGAGCTAGATTGAGGGTCTAGCAGTCACAGATCACCTTAATCCAATCAGGAACTAAGATTATTTGATGCTGGGTTTTAATCACTTTAAGGCCTGAATTTCCACCCCACCTGTACCACTAGGGTGCAGCTCTTTGAGGTCCTAACCCAAAGTGGGTGAGAAAGAGAGACATACAGGGATGGCCGAGAGTCCTTCAAAGACATCATCGCCACAGATTAAAGAGAAATCTTAAATGTAGAGAAAAATCTCATTACTTTCACATGGGCCTCAATAATACAGATAGCATTTTCTCAAATGAAACATTAGCTGCCAGAGACAATGAATAATCCTGGAAGTACTGAAAGAAAATACCGGCCAGACTAAAGACTTTCTACAAATCAATAAGAAGAAATAGGCAGCTCAATTTAAAAATGGACAAAAGGCTGGGCACGGTGGCTCACGCCTATAATCCCAGCACTTTGGGAGGCCGAGGCAGGCAGATCATGAGGTCAGGAGATCGAGACCATCCTGGCCAACATGGTGAAACCCCGTCTCTACTAAAAATAATAATACAAAAATCAGCCGGGGGTGGTGGCACACGCCTGTAGTCCCAGCTGCTCGGGAGGCTGAGGCAGGAGAATCACTTGAACCCGGGAGGTAGAGGTTGCAGTGAGCTGAGATCGCGCCACTGCACTCCAGCCTGGTGACACAGCAAGACTCCATCTCAAAAAAGAAAAGGAAAAATGGACTAAAGACTTGAACATGGCCGGGCGCGGTGGCTCACGCCTGTAATCCCTGCACTTTGGGAGGCCGAGGCGGGCGGATCACGAAGTCAGGAGATCGAGACCATCCTGGCTAACACGGTGAAACCCCGTCTCTACTAAAATGCAAAAAATTAGCCGGGCGCGGTGGCGGGCGCCTGTAGTCCCAGCTACTCGGGAGGCTGAGGCAGGAGAATGGCGCGAACCTGGGAGGCG